TTTTAGTAGAGACGGGGTTTCACCATGTTGACCAGGATGGTCTCAATCTCTTGACCTCGTGATCCACCCGCCTCGGCCTCCCAAAGTGCTGGGATTACAGGCGTGAGCCACCGCGCCCGGCCAAGACCTGAGTTTTAATCCTCTTTCTGCATCTAACTGGCTGCCTGACCTTTGGCTGTTCCCTTACTCTATCTGGGTGCAATTTTGCTGTCTTAACATGAGAGTATTGGATTAGTTTGCAAAATTTAGGGTTTTGTGTCTTATCTTTGCAATTTTCCATATTTATGTCACCTTTATTGTCTTCTGCATATTTTTCTTTAAACTGATCCATCTATTCTGTACAAACTGTTTTGGAGGGAAATGTTATATAGTTCTGCAAATAAAAAGTCAGCATCGATGCTATATACTGGAGGTAACTCTAAGACAAAAGAAAGGATGGTTCAGAGGGTATGTTTTTGTTATGCATATTTTGCCACAATTAAAATATTAAAAACAAAGAAAAGCAAAAACAAGAGCAAAGAAAACATAAAACACAACTATTAAAATAAATATACTAAATTTACGTCTTTACAACTCAAAGCTTTCATCCATCAGTGGCAGTAGGTGATCCGAAGATGACCTTCTGGCTCCAAAGGTTTTGGTACAGATGATGTTTCTAGTGGAAACTAGGATGCCATGCTGCCCTTGCCAGAGAGCCACACATCTTTCTTAATCACACCGTAGCCATGGAAACGCCCCCTCCTCCAACTTTGGCAGTCCTTAATGGGTGGTCCCCAGGGCTCGTGGCTTGTCTCTAGGAAAACCCCATCCTGCCTGGCAGACGGACCTGTCAAATGCATGGTTGTTGGTTTCACCTGGATTAAACTGCTCTCTCCATCTGGAGAGTTCCTGGTTTTCATTTCCAAATCAAAATCCTACCCACTCTTTTGATCCCAACTTCTGCAGAAAGCTTCCCTGGATCCCTCCAAAGCCACAGTGATCTTTTCTACTTTCTCCCTAAATTTTTACTCTGTATAATATTTTAGGTTGGGTTCTTTTCTTTTTTGTTGCTTTTTGTTTTTGGAGACAGGGTCTTGCTCTATCACCCAGGTTGGAATGCAGTGTTGTGATCATGGCTCACTGCAGCCTCAAACTCTTAGGCTCAAGTGATCATCTTGTCTCAGCCTTGCAAGTAGCAGGGACTACAAGTGCACACCAGCACTCCTGGATAATTTTTTACTTTTTGTAGAGATGGGTCTTGCTGCGTTGCCCAGGCTGGTCTTGAACTCCTGAGCTCAAGTGATCTTCCGCCTTGGCTTCCCAAAGTGCTGGGATTACAGGTGTGAGCCACCATGTGTGGCTTAAGTTGAGTTTTTTAGAAGTAGAGCCTATGCCGGGCATGTTAGCTCATGCCTATAATCCCAGCACTTTGGGTGGCCAACATGGGTGGATTTTCTGAGGTCAGGAGTTTGAGACCAACCTGGCCAGCATTGTGAAACCCCATTGCTACTAAAAATATGAAAAATTAACTGAGTGTGGTAGCAGGTGCCTGTAATCCCAGCTACTTAGGAGGCTGAGGCAGGAGAATTGCTTGAACCCAGGAGGTGGAGGTTGCAGTGAGCTGAGATCCCACTATTGCCTTCCAGCCTGGGCAACAAGAGCGAAACTCCATCTCAAAAAAAAAAAAAAGTAAAGCTTGAGACGGGTTCTTGGGTGCATGCTGTTTATTGCTGTGCACTTCTGGAAATATCTGTAAGGAGGTGGGAACAGAAGGATAGGGGAAGAGAAGGAGCTGAGGGAGGAAGTGGCCTCAGGCAAGTCTACTCTGGGCCTGATCCATGGGAGTTCTGGGATTAATCACCCCACAAGTTGTTCCTTATCCCTAGATGGGATGAACAGCTGGGGTTTTGCACCCCCATGTCATCAGTCACTGGCCTCAGGCTGGCAGGGATGGGGTGGGGGATAAACCAGTGGTGTGCTGGACCTGGCCCTTAAGAGCTTACGATGGTCAAGTTTTGAGGAATTTTGTGAGCCACTATTAACGATTAAATCATATAAAATCATATTTAAGTAAATAATGTTAAAACAATGGAAATACATATTCAGAAGTCATCACTTTCTAGTTATTTTACTACAGTTTAAAAAAAATCTGTGCACTTGCGGTTATTTTAGTATTGGATCTTTATGGTGGAAATACTACGTGTTGGAGAGCTACGTGCATCTCTTTGCAACCCCAACTTTGGTGATGTCTTGTTTGGAGTAGGCCATTGTGGGAATATTTACACCAGAGGAAGTGGCAAATACTCAAGCCGGGGCTCCCCCAACCCCACCAGAAAGTGGCTGCTAAACATTTGCCAACACAGCATTGAGTGTAATGTCCCTCATCAGCTGGGTGTGGGGGCGGTGGGGGTGGCAATTCTCTAGAGGATGTGGCAGCTGTGAGCCACCGGCAGCTACCACTTAAAGCAGCCAACGGATAGTACATGGCCCGGGAACGGGGATCTGGACAGGGCATAGTGTTCCCTATAGAAAGTTATTTGAAATTTTCTTTGTATCCTGACTTGTAGCGTCCTTTCATTCTGTTTTTATACGTTTCTGTGGAGAGGAAAGAACAACTGAAGTCTGGAGCCCTGGTTCTAGTGTTGACTTTGCCATATCTTGCTGTGTGACTTTAGGAGAAGGTCATTTTATATCTCTGTTTTCTCACCGATGAAAATAGGGGATCAGATGACCTCTTAGGTGGCTTTCAGCCCTGCACAGCCTCAGACTATGTAATCCTCTCAGCCCACCTGAGTTAGGAGTGTGAGTACAGAAACCATGTCCCACTATTACCTGCAGACCCAGCATGTGAAACTTTCCTCCTTGATCTCCAGACTTGGAGACCCAATAGTAAAAAGAGATAACATTTATTGAGCACTTACTGAATAGAAGACATTTTAGATCTTAGCTCATCTAATCCATATCTTAACCTTATGACATAGGTATAGGTATTTTTCTATTTTATAGATGAGAAAACTGAGGCTCAGAAATATGAAATTACTTGTTCAGTCACACAGCTGTAAATGGCCCATTTGAGATTCGAACCCCAGTTGGCTTGTACTTTCAACCATTTTCCATATTACCCTATTGGAAAAGGATTTAAAAGAGGCTCTTGCTACATCAGGGTCCTCATTTGAGATCTAGAGATTTCTTGTTTTCCTCCCCGCTTCTACCTATTCTCTGTCTTGCTCACTCTCAGTTCTCTTTCTTCTGGATAGAATGGGTTTTTCAAGGCCCCTCTGCAGCTCAGGCCTTTGTAACTGTTGAATAGGCAAATGAAGGAGGAAGGCTCTGAGGATGGAAGCCAGCTGTGCACTTGGCTGATGGTTTGGGATGCGCAGAGGTGGGTTGGGGCGGGTGAGCAATGAAAGGCTGCTAATGAGCATTTCCCAGCGATGCCTCTGAGGGCGGCTGCAGCCTCTGAGCTGCTGTTTGGGGTTGTTGGAGTCACCACAGCACAGCCAGGATTTGCCCTAAGGCTTAGTGACAGGTTGGATCACCTTCACTCAGAAGGCCTGGCCACTCTTTGTGATGTCTGGTCTGTGGTGTGGAGGGACAGTAGCTGACATGGACTCCTAGACACCTGGAAATGTGTAAAGTGCAGCTTAGCCCCAGGCCAACGGGAGATTTTCTGTGCAGCTTGCAGAGCCTTTGTTTCTTATGATTTCATTCAACCCTGCCCCCAACCCCCACCCAGCATCACAGGGATCTTAGTCCTACCTCCCAAGGGTCTATCCCAAGACCCTCCTCACCCTTGGTGTTTGAAAACTCCTTGCATAGCTGTGGTTTATTTAGGCCTCTGCCACCCTGGCTCCCATTTCACAGAAGGTCCTGATGCCTTTCTTGTGATTCTGCCAGCAGAAAAATGGAGGTCAAGGAGATCGGCCAAGCACACCTTTCTGTGGCCTTTAAGGAGGAGCAATCAGTTAGTGATCACTACGGGCAGAGGGCTGAAGGGATGGCTTCAAGGAGAGAAAAAAGAGCAATCTGATGGTTCCTGAATTGTAGAAACGAACACAGTGAAAACAGCCAGGCTGGGCTTGGGCGTCAGAACCTCTCCCCAGCCCCCGAACATCAGCTTCCTCACTCAGGATTTCTCACTTCAGTGACTGGCTCCATCATCCCTCCAATTGCTCAGGCCAGAAATCTAGGAGTCGTCCTTGACTTGCCTCCCTCACCCCAGAGTCTAATTGGCTGGCAAGTCTTGTTGCATCTATTTTCAGTCTCTTGAGTTCAGTCCTTTACTGTGGCCACTGCTCACTACCAAGGACGCCCCAGCTCTTACCTGGACTGGTTCAGCCGTCTTCTCCCAGGTCTTGGTCTCCCTGCTTCACCTCTGCTCCCCTAGCTCCCCCATTCATTCCCCACTGCAGTCCAAAGTATCTTCTAGAAGTGTACATTTGGCTTTGTCATGCCAGCTTCAGGTTAGAGCCTGGAGTTACTGTAACGATTACCTCCAGGGTGAAGTTCAGACTCATTAGCCTTCCAGGAAAAGCTCTTCTTGCCCTGTTCCTGGTTTGACTCTCTATGATGGGGGTCCCAAGACTACCTTAGGTTTGATGATTCACTTGAGGGACTCACAAAAGTCAGAAAAGCTGTTATACTCATGCTTATGGTTCATTTCAGCAAAAGGAGACAGATTAGGATTAGCCAAGGAAAAGGGTGTGTAGGTCGAGGTCTAGGAAAACACCAGGCATACATTTCCAGTTGTCCTCTCCCAGGGGGTCACTTGGACAGTGCTAAACTACCCCAGCAATTATGTGTGACAACATATAGGAAGTATTGCCAACTGGGGAAGCCCAGCTGCCCCTTGGTGTCCAGGGTTTTTGTTGGGAGAAAGGGGTCAGTCACAGAGGTATGAGTCACCCATGTGACTGACCTTGGCTACTTCGTCTCTATGCAACCCCTGGACCCCTAGAAACAAACCGATAGAGTATGGCCTGGGATGCCAGGCAAACAAAAACAGGCCTTTATCATGAGTGACACTGTTAGCATAAACTATGTGGGGTGGCCCAAAGCCCCAGTGATACAAGATACTCTATTCTACCAGGCATGATATTCCATGGGCTCAGAGGTTATCTCCCAGGGGCTGGACAAGGGCCAGTTCTTTCTTTGGAAGGTGCAGAGTTTGAGAACCCCAAAGTGGAGTTAACCCTTTATTGCATACCTCACATCTATGATTCTCTTCAGTATTAGGCCATTCTTGCATTGCTGTAAAGGAATACCTGAGACTGGGTGATTTATAAAGAAAAGATTTTTAATTGGCTCATGGTTCTGCAGGCTTTACAGGAAGCAGAGTGCCGACATCTTCTGGGGAGGCTTCAGGTGGAATCATGGTGGAATTACAATTATGGTGGAAGCTGAAGGCGGAACAGGCATATCACATGGCAAAAACAGGAGTGAGATAAAGTAAGGGGGGAGGTGCTACACACTTTTAAATAACCGGATCTCACAAGAACTCACTAGTGTGAGGACAGTACCAAGGGAGTTGGTTCTAAACCATTCATGAGAAATCCGCCCCCATGATCCAATCACCTCTTACCAGTCCCACCTCCAACATTGCAGATTATAGTTCAGCATAAGATTTAGACAGGGACACACATCTAAATGATATCTCCTGTGCATCCCACATTCCAGACATATTATTTAGCTTGCACTCTTCTGACTTTGCCTTTGTACATGCTGTTCCTTTTGCCTGGAATTCCCTTCTGCCTCCTCCTCCCTTTTACCTGGAGAGCTGTCACTCATCCCGTGTGGAACCTTCCCTGATGCCCCCAGGCAGGCTGAGTTTCCTCCCTCCCGTGCACCCGAGCTACTCTGTCAATGCCTCCTGTCAATTGTGGATTCATCATCCTGTGGACAGGTTCGTGTCTATTTTCCATGCAATAGGAAACACTATTAGCTGCTTTAGCATGAGAAATGTGCAGTTCATTAAAATGTTTATTTTATGTTTTTCCATGATAAAAGCAATACTTGTTCTAGGTAGAGAAATTTGGGTGGCATATTCTTTTTCGGCTTTTTCTGTCCAATGCTTTCCATGGGTGAATCATCATAATCCGGGAGACCATGGTGCCTGGGCCTGGGTTTGCCTCCACAGGGCTGTTGCTGTTCTTCCAGTCTCTCTAAGGTTGTGAATGAGGGCTACTTCACACGTGTGTTCTCGCAGCCTCCAGAGACTTGTGGGATGGGCTGGGAGCTGAGGATAGAGTATGGAGGAAGAGGAGGAGAAACTTTTTCTCTTTTGTAGGAAGAAGAGGTGGGGTAGGGATGGAGTAAGGGAAGACTTTCCAAAGAAGTTGACATATGGGCCAGGACTTGAAGGAACTTTAGGATTTTGCTCAGGGATGGGAGGGAAGAGCTTTCCAGGCCAAGGTCATGGAACAAAGGGGTGACTGGCTGAGCTCAAGGTGGTGGGGCTCCCCTGCCCAAGGGTCCCCGGCCCTAGGATGTGACATGTCACGTGACTTTCCTTTGACCCCTCACACAGGAGTTGTTTCCAGGGGCCCACCCTTCCGAAGGTGCTGGTCCCAACTTCTGCTTTAGTCTCAGGGCTCGTTTGCTTGTTTCTTTTGTCTTTTGGCTCTGGATGTGTGTGAAATCCTAATTCAGGCCCCAAATAGCTGGCTGATTAAAACCTAATGAAACAAAAAGGTGGAGGAAATGTGCACTAAGACAGATGTCAAGTAACCCCAGGTAGCATCGGTGCATGCCAGCTTTAAGCCTATAAATACATCGATGGGCACCTCTTTCTCTTCTGAAACAGCAAGCCCTGGGGATTGGAGCCAGCCAGTGATATTCCATTATACGACATTTTCAGTTTTTGGAAATCTTTTGAGCAAAATGGGACCTTTTGGGGCTAACCTGTCATACCTGAGACCTTGGTGAAACCTGTATGTTCATGCCAAGAGCTCAGTGTCCTATCTGAGTCCTGCTGAATTGCCTGTTCTCATCTCCTGCCTTCAAAGTCACTCACTGCTGCTTCCTGTCACAGTAACTAGGACTTTCCACTCCTTATTCTGCAGCCTTTGACATCACCAGGGCTGAAGAGATCACTGGGCCTTCATGGGGTATTTTTCCAATGCGAATTGACTTTGTATGTGTTGGTGAAATTACCAGAATCTTCTACCGATTGTATGAGGATGTTTCTAGATCCAGTTCTGTTCTTTTCTTGCTGTGTATCAATCTCTACTTTGTCACTTACTCGTCCTGGGATATTGGACGGGTTACTTGACCACTCCTGTGTGTCAATTTCATCTGTTAAGTGGGGATGATTATTTCTCAGTGTTCTAGCAGAGTTAAATGAGATTATACATGGAAAGCACTTAGGATAGTACTTGACACATAGTCAACATTTACAAATGGTTATAGTATTATGACTGTACTCTTAGATCCATCTCCAGTCTTAAACTCTGGATTATAGGAAAATAGGAGATTCAGGGAGAGCTGGGTTCAAGTCTGGATTATTTTATCAATTTACTCTGTGACACTGGGTGTCAATTCTTCCTCAAAGGCCTTAATCAGGCCACAGTAAAAATCACAGATTCAATCAGGAATGACAGAGATGTGAAGGACGTGGAACTTCTGGATTTTCACCCATTTCCTACTGGTCCAAAGTATGGGACCCCAAGACTGTTCTGAATATAGCCCTCCAGGCAGCCCTTGTAAATGGATTAGAAGACACTTGAGCTGAAATCTGTTTTCTGTCCCTGGACTACAGGAAACATAGGGAATGTGGGGTGCATGGGAGATGATATAGTTTGGATGTATGTCCCTGCACACATCTTGGATTGAACTAATAGTCTATGATCTTAAATAAAGGGAGGAGGGAGGGCCCAATTTTCAGGCTCCACAGATACTTCATCCCCTTCCCATACTTCTCTGCCCATTAAAGATGACAATAAATAAAAATAGACTTCCAGGAGGAACTAGGGACAAACCATTTGATGGAGAGTAAGCAGGGGCTTGCCTTACCGGCTGCAGCATTTCCTTAACCTCAGTTTGTCCAGTTCTCTCTGCATAATATTCAAAAGAGGCCTACTGAAGGTCTGAAAACATCTTATCTCCCACTTTGGATTTGTTTTTAATTTAATTTAGCCAAGGAGCAGAAAGGAGATTGACAGAGCTAAAGGTTTGTAGGAGAAAATCCTGAGTGGACAGGATCAAATTATGGTGACTCCTTCTTGACTGTGATGATATGTCCTCCTCTAAATGGCAGAAGTCTAGAAAAGTGTTTTGTCTTCAGTGGAACCTGCAAGAAAAGGACACAGACCCTGTAGCAGTCACTGGTCTGATTCTTTAGCTTCTGTTCTTTCTTTCTGCCATCCTTCAATAGTCTGTTTAGGAATCAGTGGTTAAACCATCCCAGTGGTCTGTTTAGGAATACCACGCTTTCTTAAGTTTCCTTGAATTCTTTCTTTACTAGTTTAAAGAGAATTCTTAGTGTGAAGAGAATGGGCAGGGGAGCAGGGATCACTAGTTCTTAGGCCAACTTGCATCTTTCCCTATTTGCATTTATTATCGTGCACTAATTATTTACAGAGAGCCTTGCCCTTTGTGGATTCACATTAATTTAGATTGCTTTTGAAAAGCAATCAAGGAGGGAATGAAGTGATCACACATCAAAGGGAAAAAGATATGGCACCAAAGAGAGGCAGTATGCTTTGTACAACTGGTCATGTCAGGCTGCTATTGCTTTCTCCAGCCTGGGAAATATCAGAAAGTCCATCTGAGCTCTCCTATCCCTGGTGTGGCCCTGTTCATCTTGCTTTGTGTCATTCTCTCAGTGAATAAGGAGGTGGAGGAGGCATGTGTGGCAGATGATTGCTGGGTAGGGACAAGACTTTTTCCCTTGCTCAGCCTCAGTTTCCTCATCTAGAAAATGAAAAGGTGGATTAGATGATTTTTTATGCTCTTCTCTCTAGGTCTACAACTCTCTCCAACGTTGTTCTGGAGACCTATAATTGTGTAACATAACAAATGGACGCACTAATTACCTGCTCCTAGTCCATAAGGTTCTCCTTGCTCAGTCTTCCCTTGGGTATTATTAGAAACAGGAAGGTGAACTAATAGTTCTATATCACTCTCCTCCTTCAGTTACTCAGTGCTATTAATCTTGGTCATGGATTTTTCAGTTGTCAGCCTTTTGTTTTATTTGTATTCTTTAAAAAAATGGTGTTATTGAAGTATAATGTACACAAAGAAAAATGCACATTTGGTAAGGGTACAGCTAGATCCTTGCTTTTTATGTTCACTGTCTTGTATTCTTTCTCCCCTCACCCCCTCATCCTACTTCCTTCTAATTTGGGATGGGCACAGAAAGGGAGTGGACCAGAGTCCCATTCCAGATCTGTTTTTTCATAGGCTTCTGGCAGAGGGTTGTTTGTGAAATGAGTTTGGGGGATTTGTTCTGAACCTGGTTTCTGTTTCTGTAGTCACTGTTAAGGGTGAATATGAAGATTTGAGGGTGTCTCTGATGGGTATAAGTCACATCATCCGTGGGCTTGTATGGGACACCCAGGGAGCAAGCGTTTGGTAAAATGAGATGGAGGCTGAGGGTAGGACCCTGGTGGACTGAAGAGGCTGGCAAGGAAAAAGACAGTGGGGCAGGAGAGTGAGGCAGAGCATGCCCTGTCAGCAAGGAGCAACACAGATGAAGCTGCAGCGGGGTCTAGATCCATACAAGCCAAGGGGGCTGGCGGTGCCCACAGAGGGGCAGCCAGGAAGAGACAGTGGCTGGCTTCTTAAGCTGCTCTTCTTGTGGGGAGAGGCCCAGGGCTGG